GACTGTGGAAAAGATGCACGAAAGTCGTTTTGTAACCAACTGATAGACTTTCTACAACATGTAAAGAAGGATGTTGTGTTTGTTTTGAAAATGAAAAGTAAATTTTAAAAAATTATTTTAAAAAAAGTTTGACACCCTTGATCTAAAGAGCTAAAAATGATTTACCTTAATACATCCATCTCATCTTTCAGAGATTGAGCTTCGTCAGCTAGATTTGTTAATTCTTCATTTTGTTGCCGTAAATCTGTAATTTCTTTTTCTAACTCTTCGCAACGAATTCTATAATCATCTTTTGCTGCTTCTAATCTGAAAGAAAATGCTACAATATATTACATAGGGAAAAGTGCTTACAATCAAGTTCTCTTCTGTGTATCTACTTTAAAACAAAGAGACAAATAAATAATCCTGAATAATGCCAATGTAAGGAAAAAATTCCCTTGGATATTCAGAAAAAAATCAACAACAGCAAATTATAACTTTCATTCCCTCAACATTTGCAGAAACTATAACTTAATTCTTATTGGGTACATATATTCAGGCAGAAACATGATCCTATTAGCAGGCTTTGGGACTCCAGGTTGATTCAGAGTCAATAAAGAGGCTTGTATGATTGTATTTGTCACTGCCATGTTGTTGACTTTTAAAACTCTAGGTCATGTATGCAAGTTGAGTAGCCATTAGCAATGAATCAACTTAATAATTAACTAATACTACTTAGTAAAAAAACAAATATACTTATGCATACAACCTTAGAAAACCGTTTGTTTTCCCTAAAGTAATGAAAATATTCTGTGGATTCAGGTCGAGCTACCAATTGGATCCTTCTAGGCTGCACAGCAAATAATGAGAAATTAAACCGAAATATATCCAAGAAGTTAGAAGTTAGAAGTGAGACATCAAATAGCCTTTTAATTATGTGTTTTTAAGGTCAGCAAAACAAACAGCATTAATGATCAATGCCACTTTTATGCAAATCTGGCAAATTTAATGGTTTTATATATTTAGGATTATTGGCAACTATAAAACATTTCAGTTTTTTATTTAAATCACCATCAACATAAACATACACATTTTCTTTCAGCTGTTATTGCTTTTTTTTTTAAAAAAACCTCTTAATCCTTAGGATCCCAGCAATACAGATTTTAATTTACACCTCATCAGTCACTGACCCCAAAAGTGTTACAAATAGACACACCACACAAACACTTAGCAATTAGTAAGAAAACTTTTTAGTACTTTATTCATAAAGTACTTTTAGAATCTTGCTATCTAAATATTGTTGGCTGGTGATCACAATAATAATCGGTAGTGGTGCAGTGGTTATAATGCAGTATTGCAGGCTAATTCTGCCAGGAGTTTGATCCTGACTGGCTCAAGGTCGACTCAACCTTTCATTCTCCTAAGGTTGGTAAAATGAAGACCCAGATTGTTGGGGAAAATATGCTGTCTCTCTAAACTGCTTAGAGAGCCAGTTTTATCCCGATTTGTTTAATAATAAAATTAATTTTAAATTGATTGGAAACTCTTCATTCTATTTGAAATTTGAAATTTAATAAAATTTGGATGCCGCCCAATCCCGTAGGACTCTGGGCGGCTTACAGAAACGAGATTTAAAAAATTTAAAAATTAAGAATAAAAATACAATTATTAAAATTACACAACATCCATTCTGTCTAGGTGGGGCTGGACATTGATCAAC